CCAAGGATTAGCATTCCATCGTGGTAACACAATCACCAAGGCACCATCTTTTCTGCTACTCCGGTTGACTCCACGATCCATCATTGTTCCTATTATAATATACGTAGATGCAACGCAGAAAACGTAATTAACCCACAACAACCATAACTCTAAGAACACGATTACGCCTCACAAGCTAACGAGTTAGCTCTAATGACTAGCATACTAGCCTATGTATCCACGTCGTCAGGTAAGGCTTTGTTTCCGGAAAAATGTTTTAGTCCTACAATCCCAAAGTGTTTTGGCTTCTTATTGATTAAATTTATATATTCGAACTAGGGCTCATTTAGCTACCTTAGCAAATTAACTATTATGGAGCTACAAAAATTACAGTAAGCATCTAATAATGTTAGGAATTTTCTATAAAAATTCCACAGTCAACACTACTATCAATTCCTCACAATAATTCCTACAAGTTGATGTTTTAACAATATTAAGTGCTTCCAATTAATTAGATTACTCTTAAAATTTCTATGAAACTATGTGAACAAAATACACTAACAGGTAGATCATGATTTTAGGAACGGAACAAAATTGGTCTCACAATTTTTGGTCAACTACACAAATTTCTATTGAATTTACAAGTTTGGTTTTAGAAACTAATTTAGGAAATGCTTTAGAAAAGAAAAGGGCCAGTGGTGACTTAATCGGGCCAGCAGCCTAGCGCGGGTACGGCCACGCGCGCGTCGCAATGGCCTAGTGCGGCCCAAGACCGGAAGGCCCGCGCGTGCGCTCGCGTTTTGCAAAAGAACCTCCAAACTAACCGACTATTACGCGGCGCCTCTGATCACTATTGCACGAGAGATGTGTTTTACATTAAGGTCCTTGGAACATGTTACCTTCGCAATGGGGCGGTCCCCGGCGTACCCGCGCGCGATGGCGCGGCACACTGGCGGCAACAGCGGTTATGCCGGGCGAGCTAGACCTACTGCGACAGGAATAAAGGCCTGACCACCATCTACGGCTAAATCCACAAGCATGGATGGCGGTTGGGAACTCAGCGGCGTATTGCCAGGAGCGGCAGCGGCGAACGGCTAGCCGCCACGGCGACGTGCCTGTTCCGACGAACCTACGCACTCTCGGAAGGGTAGAGGTGGCAGAGAAGCATCAGTAGCTCACCGTGGTGCACGCTCCAATGACGGTTGAAACATGGGAGCGCTGGGGCGGTCTGGCCACGTGCGACCAAGCGGGCGGTGGCTCTCCGAGCGTGGCACTATCACATCACCGCACCCACGACAAGAAACCAAACCAACCTGTCACAAGCACCGGCTAGAGTGGATCAACATGAGTCTAGAAACACCACCAATTGTGTTCTTTCCCCACGGATTGGGACTTACCCCCGATCCACTGGTTGCGGCGGCGCCCATGGCCGACGATGAGAAAAATGCTAAATTGGAGATCGGTAACGCTTGACCGGGCATGGGGAAGATGGGACGCCTAGTTGCCTTCTTATGCCACCTACTGGTACGAGGAATCAAACTGCAAAGCCCTAAGCTAGGCGAATTGGAGGGCGGAACGGCGGAGCTCTAGCCATGGTCATGTTGTGGAGAGTGCACCCGAGCGTGGGTGAGCGGATTAAGACGGGGCAGCTCCATTTGATGGTGGTGGCTCGAACACGTGCGCACAGGTGACGGTTCATGGGCTTGGCGCGATGCGCTTGAATGAAGCGTTAAGACCTGAGCAGGGCCTCACCGGCGTCGGCTAGTGGGCAAGATAGGGAAACATCTCATCACCATAGTGACCAGAGTCATTGACCTAGGCGTGGCGGCAGCGGAACACGTCTAGAGACTCAACGCGGTAGGTAGGCTGAAAGGTGGGGAAAGCGCCACGACGGCAAGGCGGTGATAGCCGCAGCTCCGCCATGACCCCGCACATGGCTCGATGGCTGGCGTTGGCGCGCGCACACCGTGGCCGGGTGACCAGACCACTGCCAGCCAGGTAGGGCCACACAAGACCTAGGCACAACGCGGCACAGGCCTGGCGCACGCGCGGGCCAGCGACGACGGCTTGGTCGCGACGTGATCCCGGCGCCACCACGCTGTGCCCGCGGTGACCGTGAACCCAGTCCGAATGACTGTCCTAGGTGACGTGCACACATTTCAAAGCATAGCAAAAGTCACTATCGATCATAGTTGAGGTTCAACTAACTCCACTATCATAAAGTCCATATTGCCAACGACCTAGCAACGCCATCGCCATGACCAGAGGACCACCAGGGAAGGAGGTAGATGGATGCCAGTGTGAGCTCGTCGCTCTGAACATCAGTTCACGAACGGAGCGCCAACGACATGACTTTGACATGTTTTAACAAGGTTCGGGCAATTTTTGCGAGGGTATCGTGACACCCAACACCAGTACCACCTAAGCCATGCTCAAGTACTCACTTAGAGGCAACCAACAATATGAGAACATGAAGTTAGTGTTTAAACAATTTGGTTAGAATTTGAGTGTCAAAACGGCATTGTCTACTATCATTTTCAGACTTAGAAGAGGGTAAGGTTTGGTTAATACTAACAAACATTAGCACTTTTTGTTGCAATTTTTAATATGTCTAAACCTTATTAATTTCAACCAATGAATATTTCACTCAATAGCCCATACTACATACTAACCCATATGAGCAAAACATTTAATCATCTTTTAACTATTTTGCTCAATATAATTTTTCAAAAATGACGTTCGTAACCTAAGTTCAATTTCTTGCCAATTCAATGGAAAGTTCTAGTTTAAATTTCAGATTCGATTTTTGAGCTTCCAAAACCCTAGTTAACAATATTCACTTTCCAAAATTAAAGTTGTATTCTTATCCACACTATCTGCTCACCATTTTTACATAAGCACTATACATACGTTATATTTTGTTTTTGTTTACAAAAATTGTTTTTCGTTGCCTATGTGTTTTAACTTGTTAAAATTCAAAAACTCGTTCGGCTAGATTCTCCGAGGCCTTAACCTAGGTGCTAAGCAGGTTTATAACACCAGAGGTGTTACAACCTTCCCCCCTTAAAAGAATCTCGTCCCGAGATTCGAAACAAGAATCAAAAAGGGGAAAATACGATTACCTTCGTTGATCTGAATTTACACGGAAGATTACATGGCTGCGGATACTAAACCACACAGAGATTTAGAGATACAGGATTAAGAGCAACGTAGTACAACCAAGGCTTAATCCAGTGTTTGATGTTCGAAAGGTATGTTGCAAGTGTTTTATATGGATGTTGCAAAAGTTGATCGGGATGTTTCATATGTTTCAATGGCTATACACGTATGTTGCAAAAGTCTATTCCAAATGTTTTATCTGTTTTTTTAGACATAAATTGCAAGTGTGTTTTTCTGGATGTTGCATATGTTTCACACATATGTTTGCAAGTGTTTCAGCTAGATGTTGCATATGCTTGCAATGGTTTTCAAGTGTTTCTCAGATGTTTTGCAAGTGTTTCAGACGTATGTTATAAGTGTTTCATTTGCTTTGGACATACGTTGCAAGTGTTTCATCTAGATATTGTAAAAGTAGATCAAGTGTTGGACATGTTACAATGCGCGTGATAAATAGAGGGGTGCGAGCGGTCCCCGCATGCGGTCTAGTGCAGGCGCAAGCGCAGAAATTAAAATGGAGTGCAACTCGGGCGTTCGGACGCGGACGTCTGCATGGACGTTCGGGCACTGTCAATACCGTTTAACACTGAGATACAAGCTGAAATAAGAGATGAGACTAACCATGCAATTTGTTTGTTTGGGCCACCGCTAAGTCCTTAATATATGCTCCCTCTATCTAAAAAAATATAATTCTAAAGTAATACCAAGTCAAACCATCTTATTTTTTATCCGATTTATAAAAAAAGTATCAATAAAAAAGTAGTATTAGATTCATCATGAAATATATTCCTATAACATGCCTATTTCACTAAAATGACATTGTTTTTTAGATGGAGATGGTACTTGTAAAAAGTAGGGATTAGCTATTCTTCAAGCGCGTAGTTTTTTCCTTCTTTTCAGGCGACAAACCCACACCATTTGATGAGAAAGGAGCGGTTCAGATTTGACGCACACCGTTTCTCTTCCTCCTCGTGCCCACACCAGCACACTTTCCCACCGCCGCCGCGCCGCCCAATAACCGCCACTGCCGTGCTGACCCCGCCCTCCCCTAATCCCAATCCGCACACTGTGTCTCTTCCTCCTCACATCTGCACTAGCCCGCTCCCGCCGCCGACCTCCCTCGCCGCCCCGGCCAGCAGCTCCCCCGCCGCCCACCAAACGTCGCCATCGCGCTGACTCCGCCCTCCCCTAATCCCAATCCCGCGAATTCGCTATCGAGCCCTCGCCCCCGCTCACTGCCGACCAACCCGCCACCACTGCCTGTCCGACCAGCCACCCCTAGCCCCCTCCTTTTTCTAAGGCCGCCGGAGATATGTGAAAGCCTGTCGTAGGCTCATAGCCGCCTCGTCCATGTCACGCCAAAGAGGAGGAAGACGATCGTGGCAAGGAGGAAGATGCACGCCGTCGCCTGAGCATCGCCCACAAATCAGGCGACTGAAATGTAGAAATTGTGCAAAAACTAACGCCCTGTTCACTTGACTTATAAGCCGTACTTTTTCAGCTAACGAACAGTATTTTCCTCTCACCACTTTCAGCCATGGCTTATCAGCCGAACGAACAGGGCACTAAGGTTGATTTTCGTGGCTCAGCACCGGCACAACACACTTTATTATACTGCATCATCAGCAACACGCCATGATATATTATTGTCCACGAGCTAACAACAGCGTCGCATAAAAACGGGCGCGCGCGCGCGCCGTGCGTCGGGCCTTCGTCTGGCCATCTCTATATACAGCGGAGGCAATCGCAGTTCCCACACCACCGCAATCCTCCGCAACCAGCTAGCCTACTACCGTCGTAGCCGCACGCGTCCTAGCTACTGTAGATAGGAAGCTTAAGGTAGCGCGTGTCTGTACCATCTTGCCATGGAGGACCAGGCGCGGGCGCCGCTGCTGCAGCCGCTCGGCGAGGCGGGCGGCGCGGCCACTACCACCAAGGGGCACGCGAGGCGGGCGGCGCTGGAGTGGTGGGTGGAGTCGAAGAAGCTCTGGCACATCGTCGGCCCGGCCATCTTCCAGCGGATCGCGCTGTACGGGATCAACGTCGTCACGCAGGCCTTCATCGGCCACCTCGGCGACCTCGAGCTCGCCGCCTTCTCCATCGCCGCCACCGTCGTCGCCGGCTTCAACTTCGGCTTTCTGGTAAGCGTCACCAGTCACCACCCGCTAGCTGCTGCCTCCTAATCATGTCGTTGCTATGCACGCACACACGCGGTGCACGCCCGCGCGCGCGCGCACGAATTCGTGGCTGCTGCTGCCTCACCAGTTCAGCTCCGCCCGAGCTAGACAGCGGAGCTTCCTGTCCTATATATGCTAGCTCCTTTCTGTTTCTGGAGCTGGAGGCAGGCAGATCACGTCAAGCAACCTGTTACCCCTACCCTACAATTTGTGAACAGCTTAACCAGCTAACAAGCAGTGCCGTCTGCCGCCGAGAGGAACTCGTCTTTGGAACTTCTATTGGACGATAGAGCATGGTAGAGTAGGTAAGAAGATCCAAATCCAATGCCACTGAAATGTTTATTTATGCTAAACAAAAAAAAAACATTGATATGGTCAACCAACACCTACTGGATGCATTTGGTTTGCAGATTGCAGAAATAGCTCTGAATATTCTTTTCAAGTTGTATACTCTACAATGTTAGTTTACCTCCAATCGGGCCGGTGGGATATCCTTCCATTTCAAATTATTTCTTTCTATCTTTATTCTAAGTCAAATTTCTTTAGTTGTGACCCGGCCAGTTTATAGAAAATACAATAAACATATACAACATCACACAAGATTGGGTTCACTATTATTGTATCAACTAATTAATGATTGTGAATTAATAAAATCTTTTCTTTATAAAAAAATCAAACTAGATTCATTAGATTCAGCGTACCATAAAATATATTTTGATATTGCATTCATTTCATAATGCAACTTGATCACAAGTTTAACTTAAGATAAAGCTGAACCGATTATGTTTTGGAACGGATCAAGTATTACAGTATACTTATAACAATAATAATATAATTGAGTCGTGTCGGATCCATGGACCCATGCATGCGGTAGTTGAGCTCTGATTTATAATGATCTTTGGGATGTGATGCGATTATGCCATGATTGACTTTCAGGTTTATGTAACTAACAGCTAGCCGGGGCTATTTATTTGGCTTCCTGTAGCTGTTAATTAAAAACTGAATGAAGAAACACCAAGATTATTAACATCTTGCTGAGTATAGCTGTCGCAGTATCACCAGTTAATCTCTCCTTGTCTCCCAGTACCTTTCACTCATTATTTTTCACAAAAAAAGGTCCATATGGGCTGCTGAGATTGGATCTCTGGTGCATGGTGTTCCTTTTTATGTGGATAGTTGCTGTCGACGATGGACTGCCAAGTGATAAAAACGCATCTGCTGTGAGCTTCTGTCCAGGAACCGAATCCAACCCGGATGCAGTGCTCCAGATCATGCTCAGGTCGCAGAAGACATACAAATAAAATGTCACCGTCTTCAATTATTACTCTACCATTTCGTCATGGCTCACGACATGTGTAGTAGTTGTACAACATTTGGCTACTCGCAGTTACTAATGATTCTACTAATAATGCTGCGAGCACAGTAAAAATGAAAAACCCATGCGTAGTCACGGTAATAATAATAGTCTAACTTAACGATGCTGATGGCCTGATGCTGATGCTGTACGTAGCTGGGCATGGCGAGCGCGCTGGAGACGCTGTGCGGGCAGGCGTTCGGCGCGAAGAAGCACCAAATGCTGGGCGTGTACCTGCAGCGGTCCTGGATCGTGCTGCTCATCTTCGCGGTGGCGCTGACGCCGACGTACATCTTCATGGAGGACCTGCTGCTGCTGATCGGACAGACCCCGGAGCTGTCCCGCCTGGCGGGGCAGATGAGCGTGTGGCTGCTCCCGCAGCACTTCGCCATGGCGATGCTGCTCCCGCTCACGCGCTTCCTGCAGAGCCAGCTCAAGAACTGGGTCACCGCCATCACGGCCGCCGTCGCGCTGGCAATCCACGTCGTCGTCACCTACGTGGTCGTGAAGCGCCTCGAGTTCGGGATCGTCGGGGCCGTCGCCTCCGCGGACATGGCGTGGTGGCTCGTCGTGCTGGGCCAGTACGTTTACGTCGTCGGAGGCGGGTGCCCGCTGTCGTGGAAAGGCTTCACCATGGAGGCGTTCGCCGACTTCTGGGAGTTCATCAAGCTCTCCTCGGCGTCCGGAGTCATGCTCTGGTTCGTGCCGCCGTCGCCGTCCATTTCGTAGCTTAGTTTCTCTAGCCTTCTCTACTAGTGAGCTAGACGTAGTGTTGCGACGACATTACGCTTCATGATTTACTCACCTGCATGCAGCTTGGAGAACTGGTACTACCGAGTGTTGGTGCTGCTGACAGGGTACCTGAAGAACGCTGAAATCGCTGTGGATGCACTCTCCATATGGTAACTGCATGGTGCTCATTAACGCAGAACGTAGTACTACGCCATTCACATCCAAATCAGTTTCCATGCATATCTAACAAGTGCATTGTGTATTGGTTGTTGATCCAAATGCAGTCAGACGATCAACGGATGGGAGATGATGATCCCGTTCGGCTTCTTAGCGGCAACCGGGTACGTACATGATCTGCATCTCTCTTTTTTGTTTTAAGAACGAAAACATCAGTCAGTATACACTAGAAATAAACCACCGATCGATTTTGCATGGCATGGCAGGGTGCGAGTAGCAAATGAGCTGGGCGCAGGGAGCGGCAAAGGCGCCCGCTTCGCCATCGTGGTGTCCATCACGACGTCCGTGGTGATCGGCCTCGTCTTCTGGTGCCTCATCCTCTACTTCGACGACAAGATCGCGCTGCTCTTCACGTCCAGCGCGGTCGTGCTGGACGCCGTGCACCACCTGTCCGTGCTGCTCGCCTTCACCATCCTCCTCAACAGCGTGCAGCCCGTCCTCTCAGGCAAGCCGCTGAACCTGAGTACCTTACCTGAGGATCGCCTGCTTGCTTCCTTGTGATTCTCATGGTGAGTGAGACATGAGAAATGCTAACCCGGCCGATCGGGCTCTGTTGCTTCTGCAGGGGTGGCCATTGGTTCAGGATGGCAAGCATTGGTCGCCTACGTGAACATCGGCACCTACTACCTCATCGGAGTTCCCCTGGGTATCCTACTCGGTTGGCCGCTGCAGTTTGGAGTAGGGGTAATGATGCTATAAACAACATGTGCAATGCAGTAGTCCTGATCAACTTTGTGCATCAACTTTGGAATTTGGGCTGATCTTGACAGCTGATTGTCAGGGAATCTGGTCCGGCATGATCGGAGGGACTGCCGTTCAAACGATCATACTCGCCTACCTCACTGTCAAATGCGACTGGGATGAAGAGGTGGAGCACTGTACTCTCATTTTCTTTGGTTCGAGTGTTTCTGCATATATATTTGAGTTTCTTCCGTCTACTGACCGCATCGGTTTATTTCTTACTTGTGATTGCTACTTTATTTGCAGGCGAGGTTAGCCAGTACGAGAATGAAGAAATGGGCCGACGACTCGAAATAAACCTACTCCAACAATACTTCTGCACTTTGTTGTTAGCAGGCACAGGGTACCCTGAGGCTAAGATGACTTCTGGTAAAATTAAAATATGGATAGCTCTCTTGCTTAGAAGTTACTTATGTGAAAAAATGGAGTCAAAGCGCAACATGACTAAAGAAACAGTGTGGCTATGTATGTGCAGATGCAGCCGTGAATGTTCCGGCCTTCAACTACATTTGGCGGCTGAAGACCAGGTTTCTGAAGATTAGTGTACGGAACCTCCCATAGTGGAATTGTGTACCGCTAGAGGGATCACATAATTATATTTGTGATCCTTTCGTTCGCAGCATTGTCGTAAGGATAATTTTTTCAATAATGTTTCAGGGTCAAAATATTGTGTCATTATTGAGCTAACCTCCTCCTCCTCCTCCTCCTCTTCTTCTCCTCCTCCTTCTCCTCCTCCTCCTCCTTTTTCTTCTCCTTCTCCTTTTCTCTCTTCTCCTTATCCTTCTTCTCCTCCTCCTCCTTCTTCTCCTTCTCCTCCTCTCGTCCTCCTCCTCCTCCTCCTCTTCCTTCTCTTATTATTGTTAAAACAAATGACATATAAGGTATCGGTCTACTGAGCATGTATTTGTATCTAACATTAAAGAGAGTGAAGCGTCTAACTTGTTTTTTTTTACTTCCCAAACTATCTTTTTTGTCCTGCTTTTTTTTTTTTACTTTTTAAACTGCCCTCATAGCACCCTTTGTATCCCATATATGACTCAACTGTCCTCGCACACTCCGTATCCCGTATATGACCTGGATTCATGACCCCTATATGGCCTGGCTTCATGACACATGCTTATACAAGTTAGAAGAACTCGTCCAGCGATAATACGAAGTACGATTCCAGCACTAATTGGGTTCCATGCGGCAAAGCAGGGCATGTTTGCTAGTTAATAGAGAAAGAAGTTTAAGAAAATTAACATTTGGGCATGTTTGGCACGACTCCTCAAATGCTCCTCCATAGGAGCCGAATCACTTGAAGATGAGCTACCTTTTGCACCTCCAGCTCAACCAAAAACAGCTCTAGCTCATCTACTGTTCATCAGAAAGCGGTTCCTTCTTAAAAACTATTTGGTACTACTTCTTTGGCTCCTCCATAGAAGTTGCTGCTGGACCAAACATGCCCTTACATAAATTTATGAAAGCAGCAGAACATGCAAGATTAGGAAAGATATTAGCGCTGGGATAAGCTCATTGAGCTGCTTGTTGGCTCCCGCTAAACACCATGATCTAGTTTCACTACTTAGAAACTACTTTATTCCTGTGTGCCATTTATTTTCCTGACAGATCTCGAAAGGCTCACAGAGAAAATATAATTACTCTGTCGGGTCGCCTTCCTCATAGAAAAATACAGATTTTCTTGTTGGTATATAGTCCTCCCAGGATAATAAAGAATTTTTTCTGTGTGCTGACACATTATTCTGTCGGTGTATCCACAGGTTAATTGTTTGGCGCGCAATATTTTCAGTTGCCGTGCAAGATTTTCAGTTGGCGCGCATAATTTCCGAGCATACCACAGTCCTAACCCCTAAAAATAAAATAAATTAAAAATAAATCCCCAACCCCATCCCCACGAGCCCACCCAGCATACCGAAACGGTCTCCAAAACTCCGTCCCTGCTCCCCAATTTTTTTACAATTTGACCCCTTTTTTTAAAGAAAATTTACGTTTAGCCCCTGGGAGACTTAAACTCATCTTTAAACCCTGGGGGTCGGCGCCAGGACTCATGGCGCCTAGGTAACATCTCGGCACCACAGATCTTGGCACCGAGGTGCCTAGCTGTGCACAATAGGGCATCCAAGGTGGCATGGTCGGTACCTCGGCGCCAGAACATATGGCGCCGTGCTCGGCGCCATAGATCTTGGTGCCAAGCTCGGCGCCATGTATTCTGGCGCCGAGCATGGATTCAAAACCCATGGCCGCAACTCTTTCTCTCTCGCGCGCTCTGTCTCTGCCTCTCACCGCTGTCGTCTACACCCTATCCGCGCCGCCGTCGATCGCGCCTCCTGCACTGGCAGCAGGCCACCGTCGGCCGTCCGTCCCTGCGCCCCTCCCTTTCTCGGCTCCTGCGCCCCACAAGAATCGCCCCATGACGAGGCCGCCGCCTTCTGCTTGCCGCCGCCAGGCGGCTTCGGCTGCCCTCATCGCCCCTTCCCTCCTCCTCATCTCTGTCCGGCGGTGAGGGCGGCCCGCCACCTCTCGCCGGAGCTCCCACCGGCTGGCTGGGCTCCGGGCCCTGCCCCTCCGGGTCCCTACGCCCCCTAGCCCCTCCGGGCCGTGCGCAAGCAGCCTATCCAGGTAATTTTTTTAGTTAACTTAAATTAGTTAATGTACTTTAGATAATTTAGTTAGTAATTTTTTAGAATATTTAGCAAATTCAGTAAGCAAATTTAATTACATATGTTGAAAGTTAGATGTTTATTTATTTAGTTATATTATATACTTAGGAATATATGTATGTAGCTTATTTAGTTAGATTAGATTGTTAGAGACATAATTAGGGAGTTAGTTACCTATTGATTTAGTTAGCTAGTTAGTAAGTGTAGTTACCAAATCTCTTATCTTGTTATAGAGATAGTTAGACAGTTAGATACTTATTTGTTTAGGTCGATAGTTAGGTAATTTAGTTAGCAAATGTAGTTAGATATTATGGTTAGTTATCTTATAATAATATATCCATAATAACTTGGTTAATGTGCATACCAACTAGATGGACAACGTAGTCACCCTGTATCATGGAGGAAGTGTGGAGGAAGATGAGTTTGGTAATGTCAGTTTTGTTGGAATGCAAAGGGTGCCAGTGATATTCGATGATCGGCCATTGTTTTGTGAGTTGTTTGGTAGGGCCCGCGATGAGCATAAATGCAATTCAAATGAAGATGCCATCTTAGTTGAGGGGGTACTTCACCATGGCAGGTCAGGGACAATTTTGAGGCGGTTGGTCCCAATTGCATCAGAGGCTCAATGGGACAAATATGTCAAAACTGTCATGAAGAATGAGTTTTAATGTTTGGATTTGGTTGTGCGGAAGTTGTCCAATGATCCCACCCCTCATGGGTATTCACCCCCTAATGTTCATTCACCCCCTCATGGGTTGTTGCCAGCACTAGAGAATCTAGCACCCTATGAGCCTCTGTTACCCAACCGTGAGGTGGATGTGGAAGATGCGGTTGTGGTGCCCGATGCTCAATCCACCCCCAATGAGGTTGGTGTATGTCCTAGTGTCCATGCAGAATGTGGGACTGATGATGTTGTAGGTGCCCCTCAGGAGATCCCTTTGACCCAGAATCATCCTAGTAAGTGATTTAGTAACACTTTAGCTCTCCTTATTCTTTGTTCATTCCATTCCTTTGTCTCAGTGGTATCCATATTTGTGCTTTAAATGCAGGAGACAATCCTGATAATGATGGTTGTGCTCCTGTTCCTCCATCAACCAACGTGGACCCAGGGTTTACGGCCTCTAACAATGTAGATGTTGATATTGCGGATGATGAGGAGCCTTATGGCATAGCAAGGGCCATTGATTCTGATGATGACCGCCCAGTTGTAGCTTTGAGCGAACAAGAAATGGAGCTCATCAGACGCTTGTGTCCTGATCGTGATCCACTGGTTCATGAATTCAGCGACCTTAGTCATTCTCAACATGATTATGGAGAAGGAAGAGATGACGAGCTGCTAGAGGCTCCTGAGGCCGATGGCAGCGTGGAAATCCAGTTGGGCATGGTCTTCAAGGACTTGCCCACCTTAAGAAGGTGGCTACAGGAATATTCTGAGACGTAAGAGACCATTCAAGGTGAGGCACTCCCATGTGGAGCGCCATTACACAGTGGTGTGCGAGATGGCAGGTTGCAATTGGAGGGTCTGTGCTCACAAACTGTGGGTTCACTAGGTGGGTCGATCCTCGACCTATTTATCCGCATGCGGAGTACATCTACTACCTGCAGGACCGTATCTTCGATCTAGAAAGGGAAGTTAGCAGTGGTTACAAGGGCAACAAACAGGAAGACGACAACAATGGTGCCAGTTCATAGGAGAGGCACTCTGCAATGATCCATATTGCACCTGCCCTAATCACAGGAACAAGGGTCCTCCACCGCCACCCCCGCCGCCACCACCACCAACAATAGGAGGATACTTTGGAGAAGGTGCAGCACAATTTGCTATGTGGCCACACTACTAGGACAAACCAATCTTTTAATGGGCGACATCCATGTGTTTGTTTTTTTGCCTTAATCATCTAAGGCATGTTAGGGTTAGTCGAAGGAAATATGTACCCTTGTTTGGCACATGTTCTCACATGTCATTTCATGTGCTTGTTGTTTGTTTTAATTACCTAAGGCATGTTAGATTTAGTCCAGGACCTCTGTACGCTAGTTTGGTCAATGTTATCACATGCCATTTCATGTGTTGTGTGTGTTGAATTAGGTAATCCACTATTTTGTTATATTTTATTTGCACTACGTGACCTCATTTCACTACCTATGCAATATTAAACTCAATATTATGACAACAAATAATGAAACCAACGACACTATGAAAGGTCCAATAATAGAGCACATTAATCAACATAACAACATTTGAAGTACATGCCGACAAACTAAAAGTGCATTACATGACAACACAATGCAAAGTCCAAGATTAGACAACATTGTTCGTGAATATACCATAGAACTAGCAAGTTATGAAGACTACTGAGTGCAACGAGGCCACTTTCCCTTCCTTTGGGCATCGGGATTCTCCTCCATCGCTGCCTTCGCTCGCTGCGCACGCTCAAGCTTTCTCTCCCTCTCCTCCCATGCGAAGCAACACGCCTCCTTTCCTCCTCTTCCTTGTGCTCCTTTTCTAGAGCCTCCTCTCTCGTCTCTTCTCCATCATCTCCTTGTCCTCTGCCTCCCACCGTAACAGTTTCTACATCCACTCCTTGTCTTCCAGCTTGATCTTAGTGTCAATCCACTGCTCAAAATCACAGAGCGGTGGAGGGGTCTGCAGCAAATGCAATTGTTACAAAACAAATAAATCATGTAAGACTTCATTTGACACAAAATAAATATTAAACAATATTAATTCCTCACCATCTTGTTAATGCGGGGCTGGCGAAGTGTAGGCTCAAATGCAAAATTGGCACACATCCAATATCTCTGCCTATATGTGTCCTCTTCATCAGACTTGGCTACCTTGCAAGGATCGCCGCAAAAGCACATGGGCACTGGAACACCACTAGGCAGAGGCAACGGGTTGAA